GTGCTGCAGTAAATTGGTAGTACTGCTACCTTGGGTAGCAACTAGGGTTGGGACTTGTTAGGATTTTAACTATTCTGATTCCTTACTGATTCCTTCTTAACGGTCCGATTCCTTACCGATTCCTCTTACCGATTCCTACATTATATTCATTATACTTGCTATACATAAACAAGTATATAATAAACACAAATGCATTCATACAAATACAAAAACTTTATTCTAACTGTTGCACAGTACAATTAGATGAAAATACACATTTGTGTGTGGTGTGTATTTCAGATTTAGAGCTTGTATCATCTCCCTGAGAATATATAACAACAAAAAGTGATTCTCTGGTTTCTACAGTAACACTATTACCTCAAATTAACCACAGCAATGTAATAAAAAATACTTATATGCATTCATGCTTGGCCACTGTTATTTACGTGACAACGCTTGAACATAACACACACAGACACACATTGGCTGTTTGTTTCTACTGCTCCCCTCGCTGGAAGTCTCGGACCTCCCGCCGCCCGCTCCCGTCTCAAACACGGAGGTCTCCCTCTATGCTGAGCCCCCATGGCGCATGCCTGGCCTGTTAAAGCCTGTAACCATAACAACTATGTGACACAAACTCAGTGCTTTAGGAATTAAATAATGTTGGACTCGGTTGGGTTCGGACAGAAATATGCGGCCCGTGCCGCACTCTAATGGAAGTGCACGTGACGTTTTTTTTTTTTATTACAATCTAGGAACCGTTTGCAGGAACCGTTACTCCAAATGTGATGGAACCGGTTCCGGAACTGGAACTTTGGACCCGGTTCCAAAAAAGAACCAGATCCGGATCCCAACCCTAGTAGCAACAGCCTTCAGACACACTTTGCAGCGGGGTGTTGTGTGTTCTGTGTCTGACACTACAAAACCGAACCAATTCCAAATAACTAAATACCCTAACCAAATATTATCCCTTTCTTGGGAACGAGTTCTTCCCCGTTTGCTGCCATGTTGTTTGTGTATCAAGCATGCAGGGGGGAGGGGTGAACCCACTCTGAACTACGGGAGCCCAGTGGGGAACGTCGGTGGCTGATGTTAAAGAGAAACTCGATTTTCATTAAAACAAATCGACCTAAACTACAAATTCGAATTAATTGATAAAATCGATTTATCGGCCAGCCCTAACTGGCGCTCATTATTCCAGATGCTGAGCTTGAGGTAGAGACAAGAGAGTCAAGAGCAAGGTACTGACACTAGTGGGGCATTCTTGGAACCCATCGGCTGTATTCGGCGTCTGACTTCTGGCAGACGGCGATACAGCCTTTGGGGGCACGATTTTTTGGCATTCCGGTTTGATTTGGGCGGAGGAGGCGAATTTCCGTTTCCGACTTCCGTTTATATATAAGTAAATATGCTGAACCATTGCGATGGATTCAGAGTTTGCAGTGACGCCAATTATGTTCCGCCTCGTTAGTTCACCGCACGGACCGTTTAACCTGTTAACAACTGCAGCCGGCTCAAACGTGATTGGTCAATATCATGTGGACTACAAACAGCCTACAACCGGAAACCAGGGCTCTTCCGCTCTTCTTCCGGAGGCAAGATCTCCGGGGTTTGCCTACAGACTCTACATTCACTGAATGTAGAGTCTGTATATAGAGACAACTAGTGGGGTAACCTGACCAAAAGAAGTTTCTAATGATTCGTTCACATGAAGCTCAGTTGTGGCCCCCTGTTGATGCCTCAGAACTCACCTAAATTAAAAGTGTTATGACCAGTGATAGGGTCATTTCTCAAAAAAAAAAGTCATGTATTACACATTACTTGGATTACTTATTTACTACTTGTTACATTACATTTGCGTTACTTCACAACACTGCCTGAGACACATTGTCACATAATTGCAATCTAAGAATAATATAACATTAAACAGAACAGAACAAGGCACAATAGCAAATAGGGTTGCAGCATTATTACTTGTTTCAAGGTATACCGTGATATCAAACTTGACAGTTATCATACTGTGTACATTTGCTTGTCTACGATATTGAAAAAGAAAAAAGCAACCAGACGGAGAATCTCCCCTTTATTTTAGTTATTTTTAAAGAGGAGACGTTTTACACATACTTCCATTAACAAAATGATTTAAAGGTTCATTTATAGTTAGGAAACGTCAGGTTTACCAAAAATAACCCTTTCATTTTCATTCCTTTAAGGGTTATTCTGACTGATAATAATAATTCTGTAATACTATGATACCATGAAACTGCGATATTTCCGTGCCATGGAAATACTGTTGTAACCCTAATAGCGGATCAAGACAGCACTGCAGTAGGCTACAACTGCCTCACAATGAAGCTATATAAAATCTATATAGAATAAGGTTGGTCTTTCTAACATTGCATAGTACAAATATTAATTGCTGAAATAATGTATCAATAGGCCTGAATAAAATGATATAAAAAACAGACCTTCCTAACACCATTAAATGGTGTCAGACTTAAGAAGCAAAAAGAAAAAACCTTCTTGGAGTCAGCACAAGATTGGGCGGCGTTGCTTTGTTGTTGTCTACTCATTATGCAGATAACTGATGAACTTGTGTAACACAAGTAAGGACATAATGGTTTTAGTTACTGTGATTACTGAATTTATACCAGTCCTGTGTTACAGACAACTCAGTATTGCGGTTACCCTGAGTTGAAGTATCGGAATTGCTATCTGGACGAAAAAAATTGAATCAGCGCATCCATAAGAGAGAAGGTGTTGTTGGGATTTGCTTCTGCAACATAATAGAGATTCAGTCTCTTGAACACAGCAGCACAGTCTGTTGTTGACTATACCCTTTGACTAAGCTGCATGTGTTTATTGCTACTGGATTTTGAACTTGACCGTCTATTAGCTACTGTGCAATTATCAGAATCCCCCATCAGTCTCTCTCATCTAGCAAAGTAGTGTTAAGTGCCAGCATTATGTAGAGTAGGCGTCAGACGGAAAGCTACTATTACTCAAACCTTTTTCATCAGGAAAACAGTTCAGCCTGGACTACTTTATGTGGCATCTCTGCTCACTAGTTCATGAGCATCTCCGGGGTCTGTCTCTCAGTGCCACAACATTTTAGCAGGCCTGTGGGAGAGAGAGCTGCTTGTATTGACAAATAGTGATTGGCATAAGTGCATACAGCAATAATTTGACTCCTGTCTTGGGGCTGATTTTGCTCTCACTGGGCACACACTGGCTGCAGAGACTTGATGGAAATGTCAGCGGAGACCAGTGCAGTTCTTTTTTTTTATTGCTAGAATATCCTCTTTTTTTGGCAGCATTTATTTGCACAAGGTAAGAGGGAAAGGGACAGGAGAGAATTGGAGCCAGGAAGACAAAATGAGACAGACGGAGAGGAAGGGCAGGAGAGGAGCAAACAGGATGGATTTTGGCAGCGGAGTCCCCTGGAGAAAGGTGCAGTCTGTCACTGCTGCCTTCTCTTTAGTCTCTCTCTCCCTCTCTCTTTTTGCTTCCCTTCATACTTGCATTCATGAAAAGTTCATGACCGTTTCTCCGTCTCTCTCACGCTCCTCATCCCCTCTCTCTCCCTCTCTCGCTCTACACTATACTTTTAGCCCAATCAATCCACTTAGAGACAGCCTTTCAGAGAGGATGTAACAGAGGAGACGTGGGGGTGAGGACGCAGGGAAGGAGAGAGTGAGGTTGGGATTGGAGAGTAAATGCTTAGGAGGTGGGAGGGAAGATTCCGGGAAGGAGGAAGAAGATTACATAAGGAAAGGAGGGAGGATGTGGAAAGGAAAGGCAAACAAAGCACAAAAAGAAATTTGGATGTTGTGTGCAGTTGGATGCTTTTGCAGAGAGATGATGGACTGGTAAAGTGTTGGTGCCCTTCACGCTGCCTTTCACTACTCGCCCTTGACGTACAGTAGTAAAAAAACAAAATGAAAGGCTGTGTGTGTGTGTGGGTGTCGCAGCAAGCCAAACATGCTAGTGGGTAGCAAATTGTGGCTGCACTGAAGGAGTGAGAGATTGGGGGGGGGGGGGGGGGCCGATGTGCTGACAGGACAGGCAGACTTGGCTGAGAGGAGGAGAGGACACTGGTGTCATCCCATCTTTTTTTTTGTCATCTGCTTTGTTGCTCTTTCGCCTTGTCACATTCAGTACAAGCAACATAACATGGAGAGGGCACGTGCAAGTATTGACACAAATGAACAGTAGATTTACTGTGTTCCCTTTCTGTTTTTATGTTTCTGTGATATACAACATACATAATACACAAGCTCTTTTTTCCTTTTGGCACAAGCCTTCCAGCTCTGCCTGCTCTCTGTCCCTCCCTCATTCACACACATGCACGAATTGAAGCAGCAGTGTTATGCTGCTGATGTTGGAGTGGAGTCAGTTAGCTAGAGAACAGTCTCGAAGTATTGCTCTCATCTAAATTATTCACATACTCTCCGCTGGCTGCATTATAATGCTGAGAACGCGCATGGTGGCGTGTGTGTGGATAGAGAGAGACGACGAGAGAGGAAGAGGGGGCGCATTAGAGCATCTGCGTCTGTGTATCTAATGCACATGTGTATGTTTGAGTGCACTGTAATATGATGTCTTCACAGTGCAAGTTAGGCTGAGTCAAAGTGTGCACTTAGAGGGAGTGTGTGTGTGTGTGTGTGTGTGTGTGTGTGTGCGTGTGTCTAATATGCAGCACTTATCCTATGATGGTAAGGGGTGGTTTAATGCACTCCTTTGTTCAGGACCTAAGCCTGCACACTTGCTATGAAACACAGCAATGTTTACCAAATAGAAAGATCATGATTATTAAAACCTCATTTGGGGTGGGAGGGGGGGTCACCAGGTAGTCAAAATTTTTTTGCTTTCTTGGTAAACATTTTCTATTATCACTGGAGGTGGGAAAAATAGGGACTTCTAAGAAATTAATTATGTATGCCTCATACTTTGGATACATCAAATGACAGTGGGGTCAGTAGCATCTAAACATCTACTCTCCTCTCCCTTTGTCTCCACAGCAAAGGCCAGTCCAGCAGTCTCTGGCCTCCTCCCTGTGTCGGGAGTCCCATTGGAAGTGCCTCCTCCTGACCCTCCTCATGTACGGCTGCTTTGCCACACTGGCCTGGTGCGCTCTCTGTCGCGTGCCCGTCCTCGGCTCCTCCATTCCTCTCGGTGCTGACGACGAAGCCACCTCGGCGGCCTACTACAATGGCATCCTGCCCCTGGACAGTCCGTGCTCCAGCGGCTACGTCTACATCCCCCTGGCCTTCCTGGCAATGCTGTATGTGGTTTACTTGGTAGAGTGCTGGCACTGCTTCTCCAAGACAGCACTGTTGGCTCACGCTGAATTCCAGGTCTGTGTGAAAAGCAGTTTTAGTATTGAATTTAGCAACGAGCAAGGGGGTCTAGTAGCTTGTAAAAACACCTAAGCCCAACACCCAGCAGAGTGGTGTGTACTGCAGCAATAGGAGTCTGAAAATAGGTATGTGACCTTGAGCTGAGCAGCAGAATCTGTTTACTCACTGAAACGTATTCAGCATGTTGGTGTCAGCAAAATGCTTTTAAATAAAGAGGTTAAATGAATAAAAAGATTGAGATGTATTAAATGTGCATAGGCAGTTGCTGTTGAGTAGAAATACAGGATAAGTTTCATGCAGTTTGGTCAGAAATTTTAACATCTCACAAGGAGAGATCACTTCGTCTCTCAATTTCCTACTTTCCTAAAATAACTCTTGCTCACTCATATGGAAATGAGCTGACCTGGGGCCATCAGTCTATCTTTTGTCTATTCTGGTCCGCTCTGTCTGTTATCAGGAACTCCAGGAGCACATTGCTCAGTGGTTACTGTTCATCTTTGCTACGTGTCACTGCCAAAAACAAAATATTTTTTTACATTAGTCCAAGCGGTCCAGGGCACATTAAGACAGCTCGAAACAGAGATTAAAAAAACACATTGTAACACCATAAACAAACCTTGGCTGGGCCTGACATGCACCAGATTGCACAGACTTAACTATGCTGTGTGCAGATAATAGGAACTTAATTGTTCTGCTTGTACTGCTATTGAAAAACTGCTTAGGCAGGGTTGTATCTTTGTGTTTTAGATTGTTCATCCTCATTTTTAACAGGTTTGCTTAGGAATAAATCTTTCCAGACGTAGCTACGGAATATGTTTTTCAAATAATCTAAGCAGGATTTCAGTGGTCATGGAAAACCTGGAAAATTCATGGAATTTTGTTGTGTGTAATGACATTGTTGCGGTATTTTTCCATGGATATCCTTCCACGTAATTTAACCAAGGCAAATTTATTTTCTATGGCTGTCGACGTGACTTAGCTCAAATATGTGTCGATGTGTTATGTTTTGTCTACCATCATGTACATGTCTCCATTTTCCCTCCACATTCCTACTCGATGAAATTATGTTTGAACATAGTTTGAATCTGATGTGTTTGGGCAAGTAGGGCAAGAAAATAGAAGTTATTTTAGGCCCTTGAAAAGTCATTTATAATTCTTTGAAATGTGCCATAACCCTGTCTAAGTTAGGTATAGGTAGGAACATGTGACGCCAATGAATTGATTTCATTATTCCATCTTTTTTGACACAGGAAGTGTACGAGCGTGTGCAGAGGCTTCAGCAAGCCACGCCCTGCATTTGGTGGAAGGCCATAAGCTATCACTACGTGAGGAGGACCAGACAGGTGACAAGATACCGCAACGGAGATGCATATACAACCACACAGGTGAGGGGAACTCCTTTTGACAGACATACCAAAACCTTGTCTCACGTTCACTTGTTTCTTTTTATATTGTCCATAGCAACACTGTAAACTTTATGATTTTATAAACTTTTAAAGTAACTGCTATGCAAATCTTAATTTCTCCTAGAGAAATATTGCGGGGCTGTGTGCAAACAGCTGTGTGCAGTAAGAACAATATTCTATTTAGTAACCATGCTTTATTGATGATGAAACATATATGAAATGTCTTAAAATGTGAAGTCTTCTTAGTAACTTGATTCCCATCTGTCCTCCTCCCTCCTCTCCCACTTCTCCCTCATCACACCTGTCCCCTCCATCTATGCTCTGCTCCTTACTTCATCAGGTCTACCATGAGCGGGTGAACACTCACGCTTCCAGTTCAGAGTTTGACTACGCCCGCTACGGTGTCAAAGACGTATCAAAGGAGCTGTTGGACCTGCAGCTGCACCCTGCTGTCCGCCTTCGTTTCACCAAGTGTTTCAGGTTGGGCACCCATTGCTTACTACTACTGGTCAAAAGACATGTTGGTGAAGGTTATTATTTTGGGGGTAAGCAAGTAATTAACTAATTTTTGTGCTTTGTAGCTTTTCCAGTGCACGTGCTGAAGCTGCCTACCTCACCCAGGTAAGATTTGATATAAGGAAATAACATATTTGATATAGTTAATTCTCTTTTGTTCTATTAATGTAATCAATTAAATGCCTTATCTATAAAATATAAAAGTAAGGACAGACGCCCAAACCAAGTTCCCAGAGCAAAAGATGCTAACTTCCCGTAGCATCCTTGCATATGATGTCAAACATCGCTGTGCTGTCTAGATGGAGGGCTGCTGTAAACAGTTGACCTAGTATGAAAAATAGTAGCCAAAGTAAGCTAATGTTAGCTAGTAACATTAGCCTGACAGCAGTGAATCCATGTACAAAGCTGAAATATAAAAGACAGTTAAACTAAAGCACATTTACTCCTCAAAAACAAGTTGCCAGTCCTTCAGTCATGGACCCAACCACACACAATATAGTTGTGAGTCCACCAGGCTCTTGCACGCCATGTAATGTTTGGAGGTCTGGAGGACGAGGTCATTTAAAATGACAATCGTGTCCACACCGAGCACATCAGTCAAGTTGTGGGAAAAATCACTTTTCTTTGTTTTGTATGGATCACATCTCCAGTGATACCTGCTGCCTAGAGGTTCAGCAAACCCTTTCATGTAGTCACTTTCCTCCCTCTATTTCCAGTTCACACAGTACATGTATATAGCTTTATCACTTCCTGCCCTCCATCTGGATTTCACGTGATTGCAAACAAGCCATTGATTGTTTACCCCCTTCTCTACATTGTCAAGATTTCCAGTCAGTGCACATCTGTGGTTTGTAAAGATAACAATGGCAGATTTTCCACTCAGATTTCTTAGTGATTTTTTTAAACAATCAGTCCTTGGTTTTAGACAGAGATACCAGCCACCACTGATTTTGCCATACACTGTATAAATTAATGGACGAAGCTGCCATGGCATCACCCATTGGTTTGTGGACTCCCATTCTGAAGACTGAAGTTTGGCATTTTGGCTGTTGCCATCCTGGATTGTTGGAGCCAGAACTGACTATAGTTACCTGTGATAGTGCTAATGCTAATTTTCGCTAGAAAAAACAGCCCGAAAACCATTAAAACTAAATGTACTTAACTGAAAAACTTAATATTTGACTCCTTAAAGGGTGTTTTAGTACAAAAATGCTGAAAAAGACTCCTTTTAGGCAACCAAAATTTTATAATCTAAAATCACTTTAAAATGACGACAGCTATGGCTACACCTATACTCTGTGAATCTTGGGTTACACCATGCTTATGTTACCAAACTGACTTTGTTGCTGTAGTAGTGACTTGTCACCAAACGGCACCCACCTAGCTATGCCTGTATTTATGCATAACTTTAAGCATTAATGAATTTCAAATGGTTCAGTTACAGAAAAATTCAGCCCCTGCACAGTTGTCATGAACAGGGATATAAGCTATAGAGACCAAAACTGTTTTTGTGTCAGGCTGTGAACATAATTATTTCTGCTGTAAAGTTGGGCATTTTGGGGACTGACTTGCTTTTGGAGCCAGCCTCAAGTGGCCATTCAATGAACTGCAGTTTTTGGCACTCCACCTCATAAATTTGTTTCTGTCTCCAGCTGACGTTTTATATTACAGACAACTATTGTTTATGTCAACTCTCTAAAAGGGTCCTTAAATGTATACTTGATAGCAGGTTAACCTCCTCATCAACTAATAATCCATTTAGTAGACACTGAGGAAAGAAGCAGCATTGTTATCACTGTTCAGGTCCACAGTGTAGGGCAATAAAACACTGGATGTGCTGGTTCTCAAAGGCATTTCAACATTAACTCTTACCCCATAAACTAATGTAGTTAGCTGGTGCTAATTCTTATATGTTCTCTATTATTCCAAGCGAGCGCGCTTCTTCGGGGAGAACGAGGGGCTTGACGACTACATGGAGGCCAGGGAGGGAATGCACCTTAAGAACGTGGATTTCCGCGAACACATCCTGGCGTTCCCAGATCCTGCTCACCAGCCCTGGTTTTCCAGGCACAGGGTGTTCTGGCTGGCTTCTGCTTTCCTCCTGTCGTGGCCGCTGCGGGTTGTGTCAGAATATCGCACAGCATATGTCCACTACCATGTGGAGAAGCTGTTAGGGGAGGATGAGGATAGTGGCGGAGGAGGCGGTGGAGGCGGGCCGGGTGGAGGAAGAGGGGATGGGGTCGGGGGAGGGACCGAGAATGGAATCCACCCCGGAGGAATCGGGATTGGAATTGGTCTAAATGGGACAAGTTACAGAGCCATCTCTCGGGTCAACACGGTGGACATGACAGAATTGGAGTGGCACATCCGCTGTAACCAACAGATGGTCCCGAGCTACTCTGAGGCCCTCCTTATGGACTTGGACATGAGTGGGGGGACAAACCCTACTGCCTCTACGCCCATCTCTGGGCCTACAGTCTCCACCCCCAGCCAGGGGCCCAACCCACCTCCTCTAGCTCTGCCTGTTGTGTTTAACTCGGCTTACCTCCTCCAGAGCTGCCCCCGATGCCGAAGGACCACGTCAAGTTCCAGTCTTCCTTCCAGGCTAAGGGCCCCCATGGGAACCACAGCCCTCCTGAATGCTACAGTGGCAGGGATCAGAGCAGCGGGGCAGGGAGGTGGGGGTATAGGAGGAAGGTTGGTGCTCAGTCGAAGCGGATTCTCCCTGGGGAGACTTGGAGCTGGGCGCCAGAACAGCCTGTTTCATTCAAGGAGCATGGGAGGAGGGCTGGGAGGAAGTAGGGAAGATGGAGGAGGAGGTGGAGGAGGAGGAGGAGGAGGAGGGGGAGGTAGTGGAGGAGGAAGCGGAGGAGGAGGAGGAGGAGGAGGAGGTGGTGGTGGTGGATTCCTTGGATTAGGTTCAAGACAGGACAACGAGGAGACCAGAGGAGTGCTGGAAGGAGAAGGGGACGACGATGAGGAAGAAGAGCAGCAGGAGGAGGAGGAGGAGGTGAGGAGAAGGGAACAGGGAAGAGGAGGCAGAGAGAGGGATGAAGAAGCAGAGCAAGAGAGTGGAGGGGGTGGCGAGTTAAGAGATGGTGAGGTGGTAGGGAGGGATCGTCCTCCATCCTACCAGGACGCATTCTTCTTTCCTGTCCTCATCATACACGGAGAGGAGAGCTGCCATGCTGGAGACGACATGTGACAATTCGGAAAAAAAACATATTAAGAGCAAGAAAGTCTGGGCAGAGGCCGAGGGAGATGAAAGAATGCACTGAACAAAGAAAAGGTTGGATCAGTGAGAAGTGGATGAGGGAAAATGAGATGATAGACCTGAGGAATGAATGGAATGAGAACAGAATGAGGTCGAAAGAAAAGAGTTGGTTGACAGCATACCAACCGCATAAAGAAGAAAGGATGCAGGCAGAACAAAGCGTAAGAGGTAAGAACAGCTGTATGACAGACATATTGCCACAGAAAGAGGGAAGGAAAGGGGGGAAAGATGAAAAGAAGGATGGTTAGAGAATGTACTCTACGAGGGGAGGAGGACAAACAGAGCAAGTGGACTGCTGCAGGAGTTTTGAACAGATATAGTGCCTACTGTAAAATGGCAGGAAACACTGATTCAGACGGTATTGAGAGCCGATAGGGAGTGCAGCAGCAAGATGGTGTGGAGTCTGAGAACATGAGTGAAGGCAAGAGAATGCTCGCAGTCCTAGACTTTGCTACACAGAGATTGTATGAGAGATGGGATACTTGGGAGAAACGAAAGACTGAAAACACGGGGAAGTCTATTTCCAGATATATCTATGCAAGGACAGGAGAGGGTGGAGTAACAGGTCTAAAGATAGCCGATTGGAGAGCAGTGGAGAGACTCCAAACCAGCTGAGTGGTAGTGGGTATTTTTTCAAAAAGAAAGAAAAGTGGAGGAACTGCAAAATGATATTTTGAGGGGTTGAAGCTTTGGTTTTGCTAAAATCAAAATATCTGGAGGCAGACTAAAAATCTGACTCATGAAAGGGATGGATGGAGTTTTTGAAGAGGGGTTGTATGAGGTACTTATTTATAGTTAGGTCAGCAGCCTCAGTTAGGAGAAGCGGGAGTACCTACACAGACGCTATAGCAATGTAACTTCCTGATGTGGAGAAGGGTAACAGCAAAATGTATTTTAGTCTTCTAAAAAAATCAGCTTAAGTGAATGCTATATTGATAAAATTTTCACTACTTAAAGGACAACTTCAGTATTTTTCAACCTGGGCTCTATTTCCCCATGTGTATGTGTGCGTATGATTCATGGGTACCACTCGTTCTAAAATTGGTTCAGTATTGAGCCTCGAAACGAGCTAAAACGGTAATGGGGGCAAATGTGTCCCGTATAAAAGTGCTTTTTTTTTGCCACTGACCGGTTCAGATCGCCAGTGTTATCTCTGTAAATAGCATATGGTAGCGGCCCTGGGGCAGTGGTGAGTGTGAATGAGTGGAGTCAGCTGTCAGTCAGTGTTGGAGCAGAAAGGCGGAAGTTGTCCCCGCTTGGTAATGTAAATGAGTATGTGTGTGTGAAGTGTGTGCTACGCTAGAAGAGTCAGAGGACGGAGACTTTTACGTGCTACCCCCTGGAGTGTTACCGGAGTTTCTGGAGTGCTCAAATAATCGGGCCTTTTTCCCGAACGCAAGAACAGGATGTCGCGCAACACCCCGTACCGCTTTCACAGGCTGCCTTTGTCGGACAGCGAGATGCTGAAGTTGTGGCTAGTTGTGCTACAAATGGATGCTAACACTCCTGTCCAGACACTGCGCCTTGCAGACTATCGGGTCTGCAGTGCTCACTTCTCCCAAGATGACTACTGCCAGCCGAAGAAGAGAAGACATCCAATCCCGAAACACCTCTTCCTCAAGAAAATGGCTGTCCCACGAGTAGAGAGAGCTACAGACACAGTGGAGCAAAGCTCGTGACATCACACAGCCCAGAGGTAAGGGAAAGGCTAAGTTAGCATGCTATTTACAGAGATAGCACTGGTGATCTGAACCGGTCAGTGGCCAAAAAACACACACTTCATACACACATACTCATTTACAATACCGAGCGGGGACACCTTCCGCCTTTCTGCTCCAACACTGACTGACAGCTGACTCCACTCATTCACACTCACCACTGCCCCAGGGCCGCTACCATATGCTATTTACAGAGATAGCACTGGCGATCCAAACTGGTCAGTGGCAAAAAAAAAAAGCACTTTTATACGGGGCGCATTTGCCCCCATTACTGTTTTAGCTCGTTTCGCGGCTCAATACTGAACCAATTTTAGAATGAGTGGTACCCATGAATCATACGCATACATACACATGGGGAAATAGAGCCCAGGTTGAAAAATACCGAAGTTGTCCTTTAAAGTTGCCATCAGACAGCCCTTTCCAACAGGGAACTGAAGCAGTTATTAATACTCTCCTCAAAGCTACCAGACGTCTTTGACAAAAACAGTAATTGTACCTCGCAGAACACGGGAGCTGCTGGTTTACTGCTATATTAATTGGCAGGTGTGTTTGTGTAGGGCTTGGCGATATAATGACTGTGTACGATAAATCAATATATTTTCAAGCAATATATAGAATTAGAAAGTACCATTTATATCGATATAGAATTGTTTCAAACTACAATGGATTTCGGCCTACTTTTACACTCGCGTTATAGTTTTGTGGCCTGTGCTGCAAACCTTTAAACCTCTAGCTCCACTGCTATGTGCAAAAAGTTAACGTAAAGCGCTACTATTCATTTTATATTATTTTTCATTCACGTTGCGCAGCTGTATATTTTCAAACAGCGAAAAAAATCCTCATCTTTGCATTTTATTTTGATCAGTCTGTTTTTTAGAAACATGCTTGTGACATCTCAAATGTAGCTTTGACTTCCAACTGAGCATGTAGCCCATTTTGTAGAAACTCCCAAGATATATATCATGTATCGCCACTCAGCCTGAAAATACAGAGATATGAATTTTTGTCCATATAACCCAGCCCTATGTTATTGTGTGACATTGGTCTTCCAAAGGGTTAGTTCAGATATACCGAGGTCACACAAAAACACAAACAAACTAAGCGATCAAGGCAGCAGTAGACCAAAAACTTCTTTCTTCTGCAAGGTAATCTCTAACAGATTTCTGCATATGCATGCATTTGAGTAGTATTGACAAGTCAGGTTTGAATGGTAGGTAAACAGTGTGTGTGGAGAGGCAGAATACATTGGCTGAACAGAAAACATGGAAACTGTCGGCTACCATCTGACGACTAGTAGCTTCTTTTCTTTTTATTTATCTGTTTTGAAATACGGATATCGATTTATAAAGATTAGCTGAAATGACCGGCACACGAAAGAGTAAGTCTTGTCCTTGACCAATATCTGCGGACTATACCAGATCAGCCTGAAATATTTCCCTCACCCCCAGAGGCTAGACGATAGCTGATGGGTTCTGATTTTGTCTGCAAAGTACTGTCTTTGTGAAATGAGTGTGGTGGCTTTGAGCATAAATAGAACAGCTTCAGTTCTCCATTGGAAAGTGTTATCAGACAGCGATGTTAAGTTTTGAAATTTTTTATAGTGTAAACTAGACTAAAGTAAACTAAACTGGTAATGACTTTTCTTAGGTGGCTAGAATACATTTTGCTGATGACCCTGTCCACAGCAATACAGCAGTGCCTGCTTCTCTAAACTAGGGCAGGTCGACCGACAACAAAGGTAGATACACTGACTATGGGGAAGTGCCTTACAAAGCCCCACTTCAAAAAATACAAATTATCCCTCCAACAATATCAAACACAGAAAGAGGAAAGAATTCTTAAATAACTCAGAAGAAGAAGGAAACAGATGAGCTCACAAACAAAATTCAATGCAGAGAAGTAAAGTAAAGGGAGAGAAACAGTGAAATGCTTTTGCCAAGGTAAAATGTGGAGAGAAAAAAGGCAAGGGAGGAGAGAACAAAATCCAAGGGTAACGGAGCGCAACACAGAAACAATATACAAAGACAAACTGACCATGACAGACCAGATTACCCTCAATCTTGTTTTCCATTTGACAGATAATTCATGCATCCTAATAAAAAAAAAAAACAGTTATCAAAAAGATCAACTCAAGAGGAGGAGAGATAAAAAGGAAACCCAGGATCTATCACAAAGACAAAACACCTTCTGAGCAGCAACCCTGACCTTGAATCTAATCAAACATTCAAATAGTTCTCCAAGTAACTTTTTCAAACAGGTCCCTATGATAAATTAGGTCTTCTATAAGTCACTGTACAACTTCACACAGCATCTGGCTAGCAACCGTAGCAATAATTAAAGAGAAGAAGCATTGATTTCCTCCCTCCTCTCCTCCATCTCTTCATGCATCCTCTTACTCCTCACTTCCCCATTAGCTTCAGCTCTACTCTCTATCCATTACTGAAAGAGAGCTGATAGAAAAAAACTTCTCAGCTCCTCTTCTCTCATGCTGCTGTCCTCCCTCCATTTTGTCACCTACCCTGTTCACCTTCCTCCTTCCTCACCCCTATCTGCACTGAATATCATACGTTACAAATGCAGAGGTGTAATTTTGAGTAGCAACACTTATCGCCTTTATTAAAACACGACGATTTAGGGTTGTTGTTGTTTTGTTTTTTGCAATTATCACATTCTGTGTTATAAGTGAAGCGAGGGTGTTGTACCAGAATAGATTCGCTGCATCCATCCACTCCCTCCTCTCTTCCTCTGGCATCTTCTCTCTTCCGCTCCTCTTTTTAAAGTGGTGGTTGTGTGATACACCTCGCTCTGCTCCTCAGATCAGATTTCATCTCGACTCACTCCACATATCACGTGTCCTCTCGGCAGATTTCTCCTCCAGGATCAGATTCTATAAACCAGATATTTCCCACCTTATATGAAGTTTGTTTGTGACCTCTCGCTATATTGTCAAAGATACAGAATGATCAAATAACGTATGTACTTTGATCAGTGAATAAAGTAAAAGAAAGGGACAAATTTGGCCTTAAAAGATTTTGAAAGGTCGCAAACACACGGTGTGATTCTCACAAAACGATGTTTAGCTAATTTCCACCAGTTATGCCTGTGTAGTTGTGCTCTAGTTTTAAACATTTGTACCCAAAGATAGGGGCAAGATAAAGAAAAATATAACAATAACCAGTTCATCCATACCAATATACTATATATCACAATACTGTATGTGTTTAGGCATGAAAAACCACCTCTTTATCTCATTTATGTCCATAATATTGGACTGCATGGGAAGTTGAGCTGTCAAGCTCAGCAGGCATTCTCCTAATAATAAAAAAAAACATACAAGATAAAATCACAGTTTTGATTGCTTTGAGCAGACAACAAAATCGCTGATGAGAGTTTACAATGTTAAAATAAAACCAATGATACCATCACAATGATCAATAATGCCCAGCCCTGTGATAGCATACCTCTGGCCAGACTGTGGCGTGCTGCTACCTCCTCCTCTTGAAGAATCACCTGCAAATAAGTAACAGCTCTCTGAAACATCGCCTCACTATAAGATGTGTAAAAGGTAGCTGGCATAGAGATGCATGTCACTTAATAACAGCTGTTGTGCAGGAGCTGCTAATAGCTATGTAGCAAATATGTTTGCCATTGCAAAAATGCAGTGCCAAAAAGCAGTGATCCATGATCAATCAACACAAATTTCGATACATGTAGACGAGGGCACAGACAAGAATCCACAGGGGTTAACTCTCTGTCCCACTTTGTGAGTTGGTATGTTCTCGCGGAAAATCAGTCCAGGGAGAGACAATTGGCACAGACAACACAACCATGAGTGCATATATTTTACAAAGCACACTAAACCTGCTACAGTAGCAAGAAGCAGTTAGAGTAGTTAGCTGAACATTTCTTAACCTTTCCTGCGTGGTGCCCCTCAGAGGTCACTCCAGCCACTTTGTCATGTCGGAAGGGTCTCCCTCGTTCTCTATCTGCTTACTCTGGACACGATACTAAAAAGCACATTTAAAGAGTGACGCTGGAGAGAAATCTCTGTCATGAGGAGTTTCCTGAAAAAACAGCAACCATGATATACTTCATATACAATAGAGATAACGGACATGTTAATGAACATACACACAGGCACACAAATACTGTAACATCAAACATCCAACCTGGATTCAGCAGAGACAGCAGGGAACGTTCTTTCAATGAAACTTTCTGGAAGGATAAAGTAGAGC